AGAGAGAGAGAGAGAGAGAGAGAGAGAGAGAGAGAGAGAGAGAGAGAGAGAGAGAGAGAGAGAGATTCTTCTTCGTTGTTGGTTGTTTTCTTCTTTTTCATCGTTTTTGGTCTACTTCTTCTTCATTCTTCGTCTTCTTCTTCTTCTTCTTCGTTTTTGGTGTTTTCCTCCTTCTTTCTTCTTCGTCTTTTTGTTCTTCTTTCTTCTCTTGCTGGTCTTACTTGTTCATCTTCCGGCTCGTCGTCTTTCTTCTTCTACTTTCGCTTCTTCTTCGTTGTAGGTTTCCTTATTCTTCTTTCTTGTTCGTTTTCTTCTTCTTCATTCGCTTCGTCGTGTTCTTCTTCTTGTTGTTTCCATTCGTCATCTTGTTCTTGTTCTTGGAATACAGAGAGTTGTTCTTCTTTCACTTCTTCGTCTTTTTCTCGTCTCCTTCGTCCTTATTCTTCTTTCGCTTCTTCTTCTTCTTTTTCTTCTTCTTCTTTTTCTTCTTCTTCTTTTTCTTCTTCTTCTTCTTCGAAACAAAAAAACAAGGAAGAGTTGGGATAGATAGATAGATAGATAGATAGATAGATAGATAGATAGATAGATAGATAGATAGATAGATAGATAGATGGCCGATGAAAGTGGTGCGGCGTCCCCACCTGCGACGACTTCATTGCCGTCGTCGTCTTCGTCAGGTGCACATGGCGGTGGGGGGATTGGTGGGAACCCCGTTCCCGTCACGAATCCTGTACCACCGCCCGCTTCCCCATCCTCTCCATCAGCGGCCTCTGGCGTGTTTGGCCAATCAACGGTGGACACAGCCTTGCATCAGGCGGAGGGATGGGGGGACCTTCCGCAAGACCTAATAGAGCTAAATGGTGGTTGGGGGGGCGATCCGACGCGCGGTCCGATCGGCTGGGCGGCCATATCCGCCACGTATTCGCACTTCCCTGCATGGACATTCCCGCCTTCGCCAAACGGTCACCTGCTGTCGCCTCCCACCAGCCACGACGAAGGAGGAGGGGGTGACGATGGCGACGATGACGAAGGGGGATGGCTTGAAGATGGTGGCGATGAGGAGGGGGGAGGGGGTGTAGATGGCGGCGATGAGGAAGGGCGAGGTGGTGAAGATGGAGGAGACGAGGAAGGAGGGGATGGTGGCGTTGGAGGAGCAATTTTGTAGGCGGTTTAGTTTGTAGGTTGTCGGGATTTTAATACTTCATTTTGTAAAAGAATATTATTTTTTCGGATTTCGTCTTCAATAAAGAGTAGTAAAGAGTATTTTGGTATTTTTTGCCGTCGTTCGTGTACGAAGTCGGGAAAGGGCGATGAAGGTGATGGTGGTTTGGTTGGGCACGGAGAAACGTGGCCGCTACTATGGTGACGGCGGATAAGGCAGCCATGAGTGGCACGTGGCTTGTAAAGAGGCAAAATGTTGTTCTGTTCTTTGTGAACGGAAATGGGGATACATT